TCACGTACAGCACCTACACGCAGACCAACGACACCCACGACACGACACGATCAATGACACGCACGCACACGCACACGCACGCACGCACACGCACACGCACGCACGCACGCACAAGCGCACCTTGGGCTTGGGGCGGTCGACGGGCCACGAGTCGAGGAGCGAGCGGAGGTGGGTAGGCGAGAGGCCCGAGTGGTCGGTCTCCACACCCACCAGCCGGCACCCGAGCGGCCGCAGCCCCGCCAGCGACCCACTGCGCCGCCGCGGCGGTGAGTGGATGGCGGTTAGTGGTGGGTGGTGGTTGGCATTGCATTGCATTGATCGGAAGCTTCAGGGAAAAGGGCAGCGGGCGGGGCACCTGTAGGTGGGGTTCTCGACGAGGACGTAGTCGTCGGGGTCGATGAGCATCTCGAAGGCCTTGGCGTTGGCGTCCGACGACCCGTTCGTCACGCACACGTGCCAGTCCTTCCTCGAACTACGCGCATGTGGCGAAGAGGAAGAAGAACGAAAGGAAGAATGAATGAATGAAAGAACGAATAATGAGGAGGAACGGCCGTCATCTTCATGCTGCTGGCTGCTGCTGGCTGCTGCTGCTCATATCTCAACGTTGTGGGTGGTTTGGCTGGTGGTCAACACGTACGCGTAGGGCGGGTGGTGCTCGCGCGTCTGGTAGTCTTTGAGCCACTCCACGAACTCCGTGACACCGTACTGTGGGGGAGAAGGGGGTGGTGGAAGCACTTAGCAGGCGAAACAGTCGTGGTAGGCCCCCACGAGGTATCAGGCCAGGCCACTGGACAAGGAAGTACCGAGGAGGAGTACTGGAGGGCGGCGTTCATGTCGGCGCCCTGGATGGGGAGGGTGGTGCCGTCCGTCAGGTGCACGTCCACCCCCTTGATGGGGAAGAACGACGTGTTGGGCATGCCACCACCCAGCGAGATCTGCACCACGCCGTAGCTAGAGTTAAATAGTTTTATTTTTATTTTTTTTTATGTGCCAAATCGAAATGGGCCGATGGTTTGAGTGTGTAGTGCTGTGGGGGGGGGTACCATGCCGGGCAGCTCAAGGAGGGGCTGGAGGGAGCGGATGGGGGAGGGCTGACGTCGCTTGGACGTCACGCTCAAGAACGGCTCGTAGTCCGTGATGCGGGAGGCTCCGCTCGATGCCAACGCTCGCTGCATGGAGAGTGAAGAAGACGACGATAGCGCCAAGACTCGGGTGGACGATGTCAGCGGCGAGACGATGAAGAACGAGGGACGAGACGCAGCACAACCCACACGCCTCATACTAACAATTTTTTGTTTTTAGTGTATTTTTGTTCATTTATTTGTGATTATTTGCCCGGTAGGGGAACGGAGCGGAATTATGATTTGAGCATGCGAGAACTGCATTTACCTGGCGCAGTTCACCACCGATCTAGGGACCTCTCTCCTCAGAGAAGAAAGAGCCAGCACAAGCAATGCTACAGAGAACCGCACGTACCTGTCCGCCATGTCCATGCCTATGCTCCCGGCGGTCGAGCATCCCGGTGAGAGGTCTCTCGAAGAAGAGCTCGATATCCAAGAGCAGATACGGGAAAGGGTGAACGAAGAGGAATTACGAAATGGAAAGTGTGAATCTTCATTAGAAGTAAGGAAGAATAAGGACAATAAACAAACAAATAGCAACAATTCGCTTGCGTATGTTCATGACTGGCTTTGGTGCAAGGCTGCTGATCTAGGACGAAGGGGTGGGCACAACGATAGGGAACGAGTAATCGATCTTCTCCGGGCAGAAGCATTGACCTGTGATGTGAAGGGTGAGTTTGGCAGAGGGCAATCCATGTTCCCAGCAGGACCTACCCTTGCGCACATGGGTGAAGCTCCAAGGGGCGGAAAGGAAGCCTATATCATCATTTGTAGAGCCATTGAAGAAGCGGCCATTGTCTTCAATCATGCCGAACCAGTTGCCAGAATCAGAGGTGCTATCCAGGTACAACTCAGTATACGTCCCTGCTGCAAAGTACTCGGATCTCCAGCCCCTGATAAATCCTGGCCATATTCAGATTAAGCATTAGGGCCCTTCCACCTTCCTTGATAAGCGGATTTCACGTACCGTGGACGATTGTCGGTTCGCCTTCAAACACTGCTCCCTTTCCGTAGACGCCTTTGAGGAAGCCATTTGTGTACTCACACAGCTTCAACTCTGAGCCGTAGTAGGACTCAGTAAAGACACCGTGCAGAGGCACCTCAAAGAAAGAGCCCAGCTCGGGAGAGCACTGGTGGTGGTCGTGGCTGCTTCCCCACTCCTCGTCGTCCGCTCTGCAGCAAGCTGCAAGCAACAAGAAGGCCAAGAGCAGATACAGCTTCTTCATTATAGTCTGGTTGTGTCGATGAGCAGCTGAAGGATGTCTTGGAGTTGAACAACTTGGTAATTTTTTTTCAATAAATAAAGAGAGCGAGTCCTCCGAAAATCTTGATTGGTGACTCATCATTAACAGTTCTGCATATTGTTGCAAGAGAACTTTGCTGGGGGCACCACTCACAGACTACAACACCAAGGAAAGAAAGAAAGAAAGAAAGAAGGTGCCTGATACCAGGCTGGCCTGTCCAACACAAAGTGGGGAACCTCCACAAGGAGCTGTGCACTCAACTTGTCCAACACGATGAATATACACATTTGACACTCTCAAAAGCTCAGTGACAGTGTGTTCCATTGTTTATTGGTTGTTTCTTCATTTCAGCTCAAGAGAGAACAACAACCATTGGCTCAAACTGTGTTTTTTTTATCCCTGGTACCGACGCTGAAAGCACTCACAATCCTGCAGCCCTGTTAAAAAATGACCCGGCTCTCGAAGTGCTGACAAAACAGTCTCTTCTTTCGTTTATCGCTGGTGTGTGAGCAAACAAGGGCAGAGGGAAGGTTTTTTGTTTTTGTTGATGGGGGAAAAAAAGAGGAGATGTGGTGGTTCACCAGCACGGTCCCCCAACCCGGGTCCTACACCGTGTGGGATCGTTTCCTAAAGGAACCACAAGCATTGGTATGTGCGTAGACTGGGCGGTGGTGCCTCACACCTAAACCACCCCACTGGTAATGAGGAGTGGCCAGGGCCAAAGACACCACCGTGGCGTAAGAGCCCCGCAAACTTAGCTTTTTGATCGATTTGCCCTCGTGCACTCCCCGCCCACTTCTACTCTGCGCACGCAGCGCCCATTATGGGATGCACCAGCGAGCCCGGAAAATACCACGACCCCACGGAGTTGGGCCAGCTCCTCCTTCCGTTTCCCACAAAGGCTTCAAGAAGATGAAGCGTGAAGGCGATCAGAGACAGTGATGAGGGGGTAGTGACTGTTTTGGGCGGTTGAGGTGGCATTTTTGTGGACGCGGTGGGGTGCTGTTTTCGCGGGCATGCCGGCTGACTTTCGCCCGGCGTAGGTGAGGCCCATAAAATCGATCTTGGAGGTTGCAGCAGAGGCCTCCGTTGCCCATTCGTTTGGCCCATTGTTATAATCTTTTATCATCTTCCTACACGACTCCTCATTTGCCTGCATCCAAAAAGATGCTGATTCACCCCAAGCACCAGGAGGGCGCTACACGCCAGGTGAAGGATAGCGCGAACGACAGCAAGCCCGGTGTGAAGGCCCAACAACAACAACAACATGCAGCCGTGCAAGACCCCGAGGCCCGTGCCAAGCTGCGCCGCGTGGTGGCGGGCGTGCTGACTGGGGTAACCGAGCGCTTCCTGTCCCACCCCGTCGAGACGTGCAAGGTGGTCCTACAAAACACACCAGCCTCCGCCTCAGCCGTGCAGGTCATCTCCTCGCGATGGCGCGACAAGGGCCTCGCCTCGTTCTACCGCGGTACGACAACCAACTGCTACTACTCTCGCCTTTGCAGGGTGTTGCCTTCTCCTCTTCCCTCTATTTCTGCCTCGCTCTCGAGCCTTACCCCCATTACCCCTTCTTCATCTTCTTCTCCATGGCTCCTGACACTCCACGACCAGGCATTGTGCCGAGCACCCTGGGCCGAGGCCTCCAGACTTCGCTTCGCTTCCACGTTACCGGTGCGTGCACCGCTTCTCTGCTCTCTTCTACCACCAATGCTGCTTGGTGGGCTGACATCGTCGTAATGACCTTCATCATGTGGTGATCGATCCCTGCAGAGACGGTGACGCAAATGACGGGTCCGGGTACATGGGGCAAGTACCTGGGCGGCCTCGTCGCGGGCGTGATCGACACCTTCGTGATGGCGCCCATCGAAAGCACCAAGACCCGAACACAAGCCAGGGTATATCATATCCCCCCCCCCCAAAGGCCTGCTCGCTCGCTCGCTACTTGCAGTAGTCGTAGTAGTAGTAGTGGTCGTCGCTCAAAAGCCGCTTTCGCAGGGAGTGCCGTGGCTGACCACCTTCCGAGACACGTGGCGCAACGACGGATTTCTGGGATTCTACAGGTGCGTAGCGCCCAACCCACAGCGTTATGCCACTCGCAGGCCACTTGGCGCGAGCCTCATCACTCACACACCATTCTCGCTCTTCTTCGGGGTGGTGGCCATCAGGGGCAACTCGGCGACGCTCCTTCGGCAAACCGGCAATCTGGGCCTTCGCTTCGGCATCTTCTTCCACATCGAGAGCGTGCTCCAGAGGTGAACTACCGGCTCCTTCTCTCTCTCTCTCTCTCTCCATCATCACCTCTTCTCTCTGGCCGACGACTCATTGCTCTGCCGCACAAATGCAGCCATTTCGCGTCGACTTCCGACGCTCGGCCGCCCACGTGGATCCCGTTGGCTGCTGGAGCGACGGCGGGCGCCATCTCGGCCTACATGACCAACCCGTTGGACCTGATCAAGACCCAGGTGCAGGCCTACTCGGGCGCTGATCCCAACAAGCGAAAGCTGCGGGTGATGGAGGCCATCCGCAAGATCAACGCCCAGGACCAGGGACTGTGGCGCAAGTGGTTCCGGTACTGTCAGTCTCAATCGCCTCTTGCACCAGTTCCCACACACTCACCGGGGTTCGCTCACGCGCGCGTGTGTCATCGGATCGGATTGGACAGAGGCGCGTGGCCGCGGGTGGCACAGCAAACCCCGTCGGTGGCGGTCCAGTTCTTCCTCTACCGAGTCTACGAGCAGATGCTCGCCCGCGTCTACCCCGATGCACACCACGCTGCTTCGTCGTCTTCGTCGTGACCAACCCCCCCCCCCAATGTACAGCGCACACGGACACACCTCATGGATATGGTAGTACAGAATAATAATTAATAATTAATAATAATTAATAATAATTAGAGTCATTGTCAAGCGAATACGCCTGTCCGTGTGGAGGAGGAGACCCAGCGGTAGTGGCAATTCAATCCTTGGTGACTGCCTCTCTCTCTCTCTCTCTTATGCCGACCCGGTGGCCGTGGCCAAGAGGCGCTGGTACACCTCGTCGACCTCCTTTGCCTGATGATGATGATGACGATGAGGATGGAGATAGTGGTGAGACGATGATGATGACGATGGAAACCTCGCGGAGAGCAACGGAAGAGGTGCAAAGAGAGCGCGTACCCAGGGCGATTGGAAGGTGTAGACCTCGGGCTTGAAGAGATCGCCGACGACGATGACCCACCCGTCGGCCATCCGCGTGAACGAGGAGATGGAGCTGTACTCCCACTCCTCCAGCAGCGTCGTACCGTCGAGTTCGTAGACTCTCACATGCGACGGGCCAAAGATGATCAGCGCCTTTGACGGCAACTTGAGGCCCTTGGTCTGCAATGCATCACATTGATGTGTGTCGTGTGCGGTGCGCGTGTGCGGTCAGGCATTGCGAGTAAAACACACGCAGTGCTCGTGTGCATCAAATATTTAACTATTGTGGGCGGCGGGGGAGTACGAGGGTGGGGAAGGCAACGGCGCCGTAGAGGTTGGAGGCGGCGTAGGCGCGGATGAATTCATTCTCGGCAGCCGCGGGACTCAGACTGCCCACCTTGGCCAGGGACTGCTCCACCAGCTCCAGCCATTCGGCCGGCGTGTGCAGTGACACCATCTTAATCGGGATCGTGTCCACCACCGTTTTCCTGTCATCACACGACCAACGACACGACACACATGACACACACCGTCGCACGCACGCGAGGGGAGAAGAGTGAGTAAGCGCGTGTCTTTTGCGGCTTCCAAGTGCCGGGTGAGGAGGAGTTGATTACTGGGTGAGCCTGATGCCCTCCGGCATGAGCTTGGCCTGGTAGACGAGGGCGGCGAGCGAGGTGGCCCAGTTCTCCTCGATCGGGATGCGATCGTTGAGGAACGTGTTCATCATCTGCGCCCCCCGGGTCGCAATCAGTCAACAGCTCAAAACCGTGGTGTGTGTCGTGTGTGTGTCGTGTGCGTGTGTGTGTCGTGAGCACCTGCTGGAAGAGGTAGTGGTGGGCGATCTTGTCGTGGGCGAGCACTTCCGGGGAGAGGATCTCCTTCACGCCCCAGTAGGTCTTACGGAACAGGAACGCAAAGCTGGCCGGCTTCTCCTCGACCTCCTGCTTCACACCGCCGACCTCTTGTTCCGTCGGAGGGTCTCGAACACGGAGGGGCTCGAGGCTGTCATCACACGACACACGACACACACCGCACACCACCGCACTCAATTAGCCACGAAAGAGCAACGTCAACAAAAGACTCGAGTTGGGCGGGCTGGCGTTGTCGCGAACCGTTTCGGCGAACGCTGAAGGCGCCCGACGAATCGAGGCCCTCGTAGGAATCGGGCGCGAACGAGGGCGTGGATTGGGAGCTGCTGCTGCTGCTGCCGCCGTGGGCCGGGATGGCGATGGGCGGCACCGGGGCGGTACCCATCGACGAGGGCGGCGCCAACTCCTCCGCCGGCGCCGGCCTGCCAGGCGGAAACCCAGGATCGATCAATCAATGAATTATAAAAAAAGAAAAAAAAAGCAGTTTAGGTCGGTTGGCGGCGTACTCCGAAGGCTTGCGGCTTTTGCGGAGGGTGTTGGTCATGCGCTTCTTGAGGGACATGGTCGTCGGACGTTGGTACGGCTCCTGTCGTGTCGTGTCGTGTCGTTGGTCGTGTCGTGTCGTTGGTCGTGTCGAGGTGTAAGTTGGGCGAAGAGTGCCTGGGGAGGGGGGAGGTGCGGTACCGCAGCGGCGGCGTCAATGGTGGGCGTTCCTCGAGGCGATATGGGTCCGCTACTCCTCGGCGATTGGGTCCGGGGCGACGGGAGAACCGACTCCCTGGTGGTGGCGTGCGTGAATACAGACGCGCGACCCCGTGAGTTTGTTTCCATCACAGGTGACACGTCAAAGTGCGTGTGTGTGCGTGTGTGTGTGTTGTGTGTGGTGTGTTGTGTTGTGTTGTGTGCGTGCGTGCGTGTGTACCTGGAGCGGTAGAGGGCGGAGGAGGTGTTGTGCTCCCAGGCCACCATGACGTCGCACAGCTTGGTGTCGGAGCAAAGGGGCATAATTCCGCTCTCGCTCGACTCCCAAATACCCCAGCCTGATGGCGCAGTCGACACGACCGCACACGCACACGCACACGACAGGCCACGGGTGGTCACAACTTGGTGGTTCTTGCGGGATACTGTGCAGAGGCTCTGGTACCGGCAGCATAGGTCTGGGGGAGTGAGACGTCGTTGATGACGATCTTGACGACGTCGGCGGTGGTCAGCTGCGGGGTGATCGGAATGTGCTTGACCTGCGCGCGCACGTGCATCGCTCGCTTTCAGTGGACAAGCACGGAAGCCGAAACGAAACCGAAGCCGAAACCGAAACACAAAAGCAAAAGCAAAGCGGGGGCGAGGTACCTCGCCGTCGGGCAGTTCGATGCGGCAGGTGAGCGGGACGTTTTGGCGCACGGCTTCCAACTCGGCTTGCGAGGGTGGATACAGGCGGGGACCGCGCTCGAACGTCTTGTTGAGGGAGTCGAGGGCCAGCCTGGCTATGGCCGCGCTCTTCGCATCGACCGCCTGGGCCAACATCGCCTGCAACACACACACATGACACACACAAAACACACACACGGATGGGTAGTGTGAGCGCTCGGGAGTCTCCCGCGGGGTCCGTTGGGGGGAGGGCACCTCGAGCAGGAACTGCTGGAGGTAGCGGATGAAGGAGTTGGCGGGCGCGAAGATGCCGGTGGTGACCATCAGGAACCGGAAGCCCTCCACCTTGTTCTCCCTGTGTTGCAGACACCCACCCACCCACCCACCCACCCACAAACGCACACACGCACGCACGCACGCACTCACGCACGGAGGAGAGGACTCGCGTCGGAGGAATGTAGAGAATGAATGGGGCGGGGCGCGCGAGCATGAAGTGGTTGATGACGTACGGAGAGGGGTTGTTGGTGATCTGTTTGATGACCTGCGCGTAGATCTCATCCCGGAGCTCGGGGAACTGGATGCCGGCGGCCATGATGCTGCAGAAAAAAAAGCAAGATACGAGACGTCAGAAGAAGAGACCACAAGCAGTTCACGCACGCGTGAGCGAATGGCTGGCCCTTTTATAAAAGGGCAACGTGTCCTATTGGGCGGGGGTTGGGGGGGAGGCACGCACTCGCGCAGGAGTGTGGACTTGTCGATTCCGCCTTGCGGCAGATCGCCCATGTAGCGCATCACGTCTGCTCGCGCGCGGGAGGACCACATCGGTTAGTGTTGCGTGCGCGCGCGCGCGTGCGTGTGTGTGTGAAGTGTGTACTCTTGAAGATGGCCACGGCGACCATGTGCTGCCCCTCAGGCAAGTTGTGGAGCAGAGGCACTTGGATGGGGCTCTGATGGTGTGTACCGTGCGTGATGAGCGTGCGTGTGCGTGTGTGTGTGTGCGTGTGACACGTTAGTGGAGGAGGCCCTTGGAGCGTAACCAACCCATCGGGGATGAAATAAAAACAAGGGCCGGAACGTACGGGCGAGAATTGGAACGATGTAGCGCTCGGCCTCTTCAGCGTGGCCATCACGCCCTTGTTCGGTTTCTGCACATAATGAGGGTAGCGCACGACAACCACATCAGCCCATGTGCGCCACCGCCGCCGCAGCCGCTGCCACCGCCACCACCACCACCAAAAGAGGTTGCTGCTGCTGCAGCCCGCGTACCTTGGAGAGGTTGGAGTTAGCCCAGCGGCGGAGGGTATATTCGCCGCCAGCCTGAACCAGCGAGAACTTCCTGTTGGTGGCGAGCAGAACAACAACAATAACGAGAGAGACAGAGAGAGAGAGATAGAGAGAGAGAGAGAGAGAGCGCGCCAGAGTAAGCACAAAGTTGTGGGCGTGTTACTGACGGGCAAATAATAATAATAATAATAATAATAATAATAATAATAATTGGATTGGCTTGGCACTTGGGTCCGCACCTGCGCGAGTTTCCGGAGAGGGACGGGACGGAGGCCTGGGTGCTGACCTTGTCTTCGTCTTGCCTCGGGGCCGGCATGTCGCGGTCGTCAACGAGAATGCGGATGGCCGACATGGGGAACATGGCCTCGCTGTGTATGTGTGCGCACGCGCAACAACAAACTGTAAAAGATCGTCCTTTCGGCACTGTGCCGCGCGTGTCGTGTCGTGCATGTGCGCGCGCGTGTCTGTGCGTGGTTACCATCCGTTGCATTCACCATAGCACCAGCCGTCGGCGTAGCGCTCCTTCAGGTTGATGCGCTGGTTCTTCTTGAAGCTGAGCAGCAGTTGATCGTTCACCTGCATCACGATGCGGCAGAAAAGTGAGTAAGCACTACCACACGCTCCTACTCTCCATTCCCTGGATGTGCGCCCGCGTCAAAAGCGGACTCGCGGGCGAATCGCAACGAACCTCGTAATCAGTGATCGCGACGGCGATCGTGGAGGTCTCCTTGCGAGCGCGCACGTAGGTCCTGATGGCGTCGACCACATCTTCGGGCTGCAGCCCGACGAGATTAGTGCAAAAAAGAATCAAGAAAAGAAAGCACAGTTATCAGTCAGTCGTCCTTGGCCGTACGGACTTGTTTGAAAAGGGAGGGAGGTGGGCATTACCACGGGAGATCGGAAGACGATGTCCTTGTACGTCCTGCCGAGGTCGTAGACGGTGAGGAGCACATCGCCAGGGGACCAGCTCCACTCGACTATGTCCGTCAGCGGGAACTCGCACAATTGTTTCTGTTGTTTGTTTGTTTGTTTGTTTGTTTGTTTGTTTGTTTGTTTGTTTGTTTGTTTGTTTGTTTGTTTGTTTGTTTGTTTGTTTGTTTG